GAGGTTATTTTTAGTCATATTTTATGAAATTGAAATTAAATATATGGATATATTAAGAACTGAAAATTTAATTTTTTTATTTTAAATTGAAGGCTTGGACTGACCTGCACTTTAGCAAAATTACCCCTTAATCTACATTTCTACTAACTGAAGAGAGAAACATTTTTTTTAAGGATTTTGTAATTCATATATTAATTAATTTTAAATCATGTTAAACACAACCAAAAATATATTAACTAAAAAACCATAATGAAAAGAAATTTTACAATATTATGAAGTTTTAACAACTATTGTGATCAGAATTGTCAGTGAATATTACCTTATTTCACCCACCAAGGGCTTAAGCTCTGCTTTCAAACAATACATAGATATTTAAATGGAAAGTCTATTGCAAAGGGACAAAATGTTTGAAGGTGCACATTTCCCAGGTCTCCTCTCCTTCTGTGGAATTGCACCCCAGGTCCTAAAGCAATTCTGAAGTCCTGAAAACACCTGGTTGTACATTATATTTTCAGTTCATGTCTGAGTGGTTTAATTTCTATGATAGCCTCATGAGGATGGAAGAAAATTAAACCAAGACACCATAGATAAAACATGTAAGTTATGTAAATGTCACATGTAGGGAAAAATGTTGTTTCTGAGTAGAGGAATGTTGTTGTCAAGAATACCACTGGGAATTTCTACATGTGCTCAGAACACCATGGCTCTTTTCACCGTTGTTTGGAGTGAACAGAATTGACACTTTAGATCCTCCTCCTGGGATAGATGCTGGCATTAATGTCTAGAAGCACAAATTTTCACTTTTAAAAACAAGAAAAAGACTACACATAATCATAAGAATTACTCTCCACATCTATTACACCTTTGGCTAGGCATCGAAATGGAAAATAAACCAAAACAGAGAAAAGCAATTAGAGAACCAATTTCATGTCAGTTTCCCCACAGAGCTTTCAGTATCTCCCCAAATAAATTGTGTCGAGTACTTGCATGTATAAAATAATATAAATGGAGACATAATTTACAATAAAACAAGGGTTTAAAATACAACTTTAAATATCCCCAAACAATCTATACATCCTAACTGGGAATTTTACCTCAACAATCCTATTTAGAGTTACAGGGACAGTTCCTAAACATACTGAAGATGTGTGTGTGTGGATACATATGCACACCCAAATACACTGCCCACTTACTCATTAGTAGTTCCATGTATTCAAGGGGGAAGCCTAGGTGAAGTATGGGGCTTATTAATGTCATTGTTATTAAGTGACAGAAAATTTTAACAGCAAAAAACGTCTTAAATTCTTGGCTATCTTTTAGCTTAGCTTAAAAGTTTCAGGATAATATTTTAAAAAAACACCTACTTCTGGTTTTCCTGTCAAGGATTTTGACAAATCCTTTCTCTCTATGTAGTTATTATATGTTTTTGCTGAGGTGTGATAATAGAATTTGTGTTTAAGCACTGAGGATACCTAAACTAGTTGTTTTTACACCACAGGGATCAACTCCTCAAAATGACACATACTTCTTTTCCTCTCTTAAGGAAAATGACAAAGTATTAGGCCATCTGAAGGAATGACAAATAGCTCTGCTGCAGATATAGGGAACTAAAAACCAGGAATATGTACTTTTGAGGTTTGTTTTTGGAGTGTGAACTGATTAAAAATATGATACAGCACAGTGGAAATTGAAAAAGAAATAAAATTCCTGGTTTTCATTCCCATTATTTCTTATTTGTTCTCCATTCATTTTGACACACCTTATGGAAGAAAGATTCCAATATTTTCAGCTGAAAATGTTGTTGGAACTTTATCCACAAAAATTATAAGTCCTGTAATGGCACATAGAATTGGTGACTACATGAATAAGTTAATAAAAGTAATTCAAAATCAAACTACAACACTCATTTTCTGCCATGTTTAAATCTGGAGTATAACATTTCATGTCTTCCCTCAGGGTACTGACACTTCTCAGAACTCTAGGGTATTCATAGAAACTCCTTTTCTCTTTCATTTTATGATTTCTATTTTTTTCCCTCTTAGCGTCTTTTTCAGATTTTTGTAGAGAAAAGACACGCATATCTGAAATTTGGCCTCTGAGAACTATTAATGAGGGATATAAAAATCAGCACAGGTGGGCTCCCAGACATATTAAACCACAAAAATGGCTCTCTGAAGTTCTTTGTATGTGTTACAGGTCACTTGGAGGGAAATATCCTTTAACTGAGTTGTAAATTTCAATTAGCAGATATCTTTTCACAATTAATATTTTTTGAACTGTGCTTAATTTGCTTTATATATATAGTCTGTCAATTTCAAATAGCTTCTCATCATACAGTGATGTAGAACACACATAATAAAATGTTTCAAAATTCTATGTTAACACACATTATTTTTAATTCAACTAATTTAAAATGCGAAAGAAATGTCTATTAATGTAAAAAAAGTTCAAGAATACTTTTATAAGAATTACAGTTTGAATCCATTTGAATCCCTGATTTTGCTGGTTACTTTTCCTTGAGAAAAAATATTGAGTTTTTAGCAAAAATAAAATAATCCCGCACAGTGAGGTTTGTTATGAGGACCAGAATCCATACGTATCTAGGAAGTTAGGGTCCTAAATATTTTCCGTGTCTGTGTACCCATGTAAATAAGGAAATAAGAAAAAATATTTCTTTTTGTTATTGTTCGTTTACTTTAGCTTTTCTTCTGATTTTTTTTTTTTTTTTCAGAATCCAAACTTACAGAGTATGTATATTAGAAAAAAAAGTGACTCTGATTATCTAATGGACTATAGAAATTTCAGCTATACAAAAACCTCAACATTTAAAAATAGCTAGCAGAGAGTTTATCAAACCATTATGATTCACTATGCAGTCAGGTGGATGAAAACTTTATTATTGCCTTTTGTGTATCTAGGATTTTGTTCTCAAACACATAATCATATCATATGGCATATTGAACAACATAGTCTCCCATAGCTAAATAATATCCTGGACATCTGCAGCAGAGCACCAGGCATATGTAGGAACTCTTTTACCAAAATATCATTATCTTCAAACATGTATTCTGTCACTCATACCATCCCCATTTATTTTTTCAGTATTTGATGCATTGCTAATGTATAATGCCATCCTAAACCCTTTTTTTAAACTACTTATTAAATATCTATATTCCAGTTGCTATAATCATTGCCATATTCAATACTGCATTTTTACTTTCAAGGGGTACTAATACCAGAGACACTAATCACGAGTGTCAGTAGGTACATCCTTATACTATTGCAGGATCAAGAGGTCTTCTGTTGCTAAAGCAAATTACTGATAACAAGAAATGGAATTTTTTAGAAAGAGCAAAATAAGCAACAAGCAGTACACTGATCTGTGTCTGGTTTTCATTCCTCCTTCTGATGGGCAGAGCAAGTTTAGGTTACAATCCATAACAATGCACCGTTTCCTATTCAAGGTGACTGCAAATTCAATTCTTCCTGGCAGCACAAATTATTCACCTCTCAAGTCATCCTTCTGACACCAAATTCGGTTGCACAAGAAAATATGTCTGGCAGCCTTGAAATGGAAACAGACAAATTGTGAGGAAGGGTAGCAAGGCATCTGAGCACTTCTGCCGCATCTTGCTGACAGATGGGAGATGGAGCACGAGTCACCAGTGCTTGCATCTCCAGTGCAGTTAAAGAAAAGGAAGCATTCATCAGGACCTTCATTTCTCATTCCTCAAACGGAAGGCTGTTTACATCATGTCAGCAAATTATTACCCTCTGCTGCTGTTGTTGTGCTACCTATTGGAAAAGGTGAAGAGGTTATGTTTTGAAATTCCATGGAGATGTTGATTAAGGAAACAAAGGAAGCTGGTTCTTAACACCCAACGCCCCCCTCCCTTCTCCCCCACTCTCCCATCTCCCCCCTGCCAAAAAAAAAATAGGAAGTAGGCATCATCACATTCACATTTTTGACATGAGAAATGAGCGGTTTTTTTGAGAGGACGATGAATTCAAAGCTTAAATTGCTTACATATATCAAGGGAGAACCACAGAATCTAAGGTCTTTCCCTTCCAACTGACTCATATCTTTTGGTTGTTTCTGTGGTTTTTAGTTTTTATCTAGTTCTTATCTGACAGCTGACCTGGGGTAGCATGGATCTTAGATTTCCTTGGCTTCTTTTTAGGTCTTCATTAACTATGCCTGAAAAACCAAAGTTATTCCATCTGTGTGGAAGTCTGCAAAATTAAACTTTGTGAATAACTACATATTGGACCATCATTGGAAAAAAATGATATATAAACTAAAAACAATGGGGACCTACTGTTTTAGCCATTGAATGTGCTCAGAACCACGAGGTATCATACAATCTTGTCAGGGTCTTTGTTGAAAACATGACTCAGTTTAACAGCTCATGAATTTTTGAAACTTAGAGGCAAAGTCTTTGACTCTCAAGACAAATGAAAGATAGAATTTGGCTTATATGAAAATAACTGAGTATGAAATTATTCTGGTGATATCCATGCTTTATTTCAGACCAGGCTGTCATCAGACCTTTTTATTTCTTTTTCCTTGAATATGTACATTTTACAGCTTCTGAAGAATAGATTTTTCATCCTCAGTGGTTTAGTCTGGTATCTGGACCTAGATAATTGTTTTAAGAACTGTTTCATGTTTACTTAATATAGGAAACTACATTCAGTTTAGGCAGGATCAACAGGTCTTTCCTTCCTGTTCAAAACTACTGTGTAAACAACTCAAACCTTCCATCTGTGTGATAGCTTTATTTCTCTTTCCTCAAGCTCTTTAAGTCTGGTAGACCTTTAGTGACTTTTCTGTCTTGGAAGATAATTTCTTGATTTAATTTTATTCATAACTATCTCTAGTACACCACAGATATCATTCTTTCTTAGAGTGATAAACCTCCACCAAGTATATTACATTGGATTGCTTTTATTTCTGCCATGCACATTTTAATTAATGCTGCTTTTTTTTTTCCATGCAGACATGAAGTGTGGCTGCCTTTCCTTCTTATCCTGTGCAAGTTTTACACAAGTACCTGACATATGCTGAGTTCCGTCCCAATATCTATTTCCTCCCTGTGCCACTTGCATTGCTTCTACAAAGGTAGATACCAGCACAGAAAATCCCTCAGCCTTAGTTGTGTCCTACAGGAGAAGATCTGGTTCTGTACTGTTTCTGTTTCCATACAGCCTGTCTGAAGAAGCTAATTTTAATATGAAAGGTCCAATGTAATAAGTAAATAAAAATTTATCTTTGTGACTATTTGAAGAAGAATACAGCTGAATGGTTGTATTTATAAAACTGCCCAGTTCTTTATGCAGAGAAAAGGAACAGTCACATCTATGTAGTCAATTTATATTTTCATTTCAAAAAAGATAAAACTTCATCTAATATAGTTTTCTCTTTATTTTGAGAAATGTTTGTTTTACTTAAAAGCACAGTCTACATTTTCAAGCTTTGTAGACTATCAGTGTCTCTAATTACTCTGTCTGTATCTGACATGAGTCCTCTATATTTTTCTAAAATATTTTCATTCAGAGATTGCAACTATAAAATACTATGTATATATGAGGAAGTTTTTATCTTGATAAAAGAGAGCCAGGTCTTGAAAATATTAAGTATTTAAGACTGTAAAGAAATATGGAGAGTAAGACTTCCATATTTATGCCCAAGGCAAAAAATAGAAAAAGGAGAGATGAAATTACTCTCTTGGTCCTCTTGCTCTTACTATAGCAGAGTTCTGTTTTGCCTTTTTGGCAGAGCAATTTTCCCAGACCAGCACTAGTCACCCCTAGTAATTCTGGAGGTAATAAAAATGGACAGGTTCCTTATCTAGTAATTATACTGTGAAAGATTTAGACAATTCTACTGAAAAACCCAAGGAGCTTGAATGGAATACCTAATTTCAAAGGCATACCCTTAAAGTGATAAGAATCAAGAATATGAACCAAAAAAAAAATCTATGGATATTTGTGGATGAATTAGTTGACTGTTATACAAATATTTCATCTTTGAATTTGTTATATAATGTATATATTTTATTCAGGATAACACAGTAACCCAAACAGTGTGTAAAACATCCTAGGCCCATAACAGCCTATCTGAAATACCTGTAAGTACTTTGAACACAATCTGGCACACAGAGCAGAGCAGGCATGTTAAACATGAAACTGCTTTTACAGCAATACTCCTATTAGCCTTAAGGATTTTGAACAACGGGGAATTGTGTACAGACATTCAGTTTGTCATTACAACAGTACTTTTCTTATTTCTAACCCGTGTTCATGTGCTATTCATTTTGCAGTTTGGCTACACTTTGCTCTGTTTCTGATTCTAGACTTCAGGTGCATGGTAACTTATGGCTAAGACTCTAACTTCTGCATTGGATTCTGCTAGGTTTTATGATCCCACATTAGGTAATTCACACCACTGCTGATGATGTTATGAATAGCCAGCATTAAAAGAACACATGATTAAGTCACAGACATTGACAATAAAAAGAAAATCGTAATTTGCTCTAGACATGTCTAGATAGTTACAGCAGACCTATTGAAAACAGGACTGTTTGGAGAGTATTTTAAATCTTAAAATTCTGACAGGTAAGTATTTAAAGCCAAAGAACTTTGCATGTATATATAAATCAGCAAGTGCAAATGCATGATTTCTATAAATGTGAGTATATAGGTGGTGGGACTGTTTAACAGCCGACCTTCAGAAATATCAGTGGGGAAACAACCATATGCCAATACTATACGTTTAATGTCTTAACAAGCATATAGTATATTTCTACATCTGGAACTAGTATACAACCTGAATTAAGGCTGGGTTAGGTAGTTTAGGATTTCTGATTACATTTTTCCTTCATGTTTAAGCTGGATTTTCAAACTCCTCAAAGAAGCATGATCAGACTCTGAAATAGTGTGGAGCTCTCAAATCCCTTTCAGTACCCATTTTAGAAGTCATTCTTACTACCTAGAAAATCACAAAGAAGTGCAGTTTATTCCATACCAACATGTGGAGACTCTTCCTTACATTTGAGAAGTTCAGAGATGGAATTGGTTTGTGCACTACTTCAGCACTTAGAGAAACAGATTTAGATTCAGAGACAGGTAGAGTATTGATGCAACTTATTTGGAGACTGTTGTCATTCTCTAAGTCAGAATGACAACCCCCTTTAAATATTTGCAAATAAAATAAAGTTAAAATAAAAATGACTGTGTTAAAAAACGTAAGCAAAGGATTTCAATATGCCTTACCAATATAAGTAGGTAACAATGTCAGTGTATCCCTAGAAGAAAAGGAAAAGCAACATTTTAGTAATGAGGTAGCCTACAAGACCATTATTACTGAAAGTTTGTTAATACATAAAGAATATTCCTGTATCCTGTGTTAAGACTTAAATCAGTTAGCATAATGGTAAGAGAGGCATGAGAATAAGATAAAGAATGGAGATGAAGGGCTTTGAGGAGGTGATCTAGATAATTCATTCTTCCAGGCTGTAAATACTACATTTTTGCCTTTCTGAACCCAAAAATTGTATAAAACTGCTAGGAGCACTGCAAATCAAAACAAAGATGTATCAGCATGTTTCTGGCAAGGAGTAAGGCAAAGATAAAAGTGGAAACATGTGGTGTACAGCTTTGGGGGCTGGTTCTGGCCTCTTGCCTGAACAGGGCCAAAACAGACAGCATGTTACAGTGTTCACTTTGTCTTAATTAATTAATAATGGATGATAAGAGTATGATCTTCTTTCTCTCTATCACCCTGATCACACATTCACACATATCTCCATTTTCTCTCCAGATGATGCTGCTACATTTAGGGCAAAATTTTCATATTCTACTGCTTCTCTCTCTTTTAGAATAGCATTCCTGAATTTCTTTGCCTCATTAAGTAATAATGTCACCTGCAAATCTATTTTTTCAGGCCAGTTAGTTTGAGCTTTTCTCTCTATTGACCTACTAACACCTTATTTCCCTGTCTGTGAGTGCTTATATCAAGACGTGGTCTCACCACCACATTTTAACAGGCTTAGTGCCTCTAAACCTAAAATAGTGGTCTTTTGAAGAACAGTGAAAAAGAGTGTATAAAAAGTGTAGTGAATGCACCTTTACAGCTATCAGCCCATAAAATTATTTCCATTTCTTTATCATGTAGAGAAGCACTCTATCATATAAATTAGTAACCTGAGATTTGAAAGATGGTGCATAAATGAAGCTGGATTTTATGATCAGAATCATCGACTATTTGAGAATATCTTCAGTATATGATTCTAAACGGACTCATTATCAGAATTTATAGCTTGATTTTCAAAGTGGTGCAGTCCCATAAAATAGCAGATATCTCAGTTATCTGTGCACTTATCTGTTCAGATAGATAAATAACTTTCTAGGTCATTTACATGCAGATTATTTTGCATAAACACTTCCATGCATTTATATTTGGGTTGTCAAATTCTCTTTGGTATCGATGAACATGAATCATGTGATCATTTGAGTTGGAAAGAGGCATAAAGATCGTCTGGTTCCAACACCTCTGTCACTGGCAGGGACAGCTTCCACTAGAGCAGGTTGCTCAGAGACCCGTCCAACCTGGCCTTGAACATCTGCAGGGATGAGGCATCCACAACTTCTCTGATCAACCTGTTTCAGTACCCTCACCATCCTCACAATAAAGAATTTCTTTCAAATATCTAATCTAAACATACCCTCTTTCAGCTTAAATCAATTTTCTTTTGTCCTATTACTACACCCCTTTGTCAAAAGTCCCTCTCCAGCCTTCTTATAGATCCCCCTTAGGTACTGGCAGGCTACAATAACTCCCTGGATCCTTCTCTTCTCTCGGCTGAACAATCTCAACCTTCTCAGCCTGTCTTCACACAGGAGAGGTGCTCCAGCCTTCTGGTCATCTTCATGGCTCTTCTCTGGACTTGCTCCATCAGGTCAGCATCCCTCCTATGTTTGATGTCTCAGAGCTGAATGCAGCACTCCAGGTGGGATCTCACAGTAAGATAGTAGAGGGGGACAATCACTGCCCTTGACCTGCTGGCCATGCTTCTTTTGGAGTGGCCCAGGATACAGCTGGATTTCTGAGATGCACAGATTTAAAGGCCACATAAAGGTTCTTGTCAATATATAAGGTTTTCAGTTAATTAGGAAAATCTATTTGCCTATCTTTCTCTAAATTTCTTCTTGCAGGGAAACTTAAATTTATTTTTGTGGCTTGGGCACTCGACTGTAGACTTTCTGATTATGGTACTAATCTTTGTTCATTTTCTTTTTCATTTTTTTTTAATGTAAGGAAAGGAATACAACATTCTTACAATCTTCCCTCATAACAGCTCCCTGGTTTGGAGTTAATGGGTCACTGGTGTTGTTTAGAGTATTGAACAGTTCACTGATGTGAAGAAATATATTTTTTTTCTTTCAGACACGGCAAAAGTAGCTGAATAGAAAAGCTCTTGTTCACTGACACTTAACCACACTGTCTTCTACCAGTCGTGCAATAAATACATTTAATATTTTCTTCAAAAGGAATAAATACTACTAAACAAATCAACATTTAATGCTGGTTTCCCTTCCATTCCTGGATCTTTCAGTGAGTTACTGCTTATCCCTGTAGATGTAGTTCATTTAGCCAATGTACGCTGAGATTTATTGAGACATTTAAAGTTTTGATAACACAATTTGCTTAAATGTTTATGCAACATGTTGTGCTTTGATGTTATAAACTATATAAGAACATATTGTACTTAATGGTAGGGCAGGCAGCAGAATGTTAAGAAAGCTGTTTTGAATAATATTTTGCCAAATGTTAAAACATTCATTTTCATCTCTTTTTGTTCTTTTTTTTTTTTCTTTGTAATTTGTGATGAAACATATCTATTAAAATCTGGCATAGCCAAATTATATATTTATATCTGTGAGAGACATGTATCAGTGAAACACTTTAGTGGTGTGCTATGCCTTAGTCTAGGAGAACATATTAACTCCAATGAAAAAGATATATCAGAGAAGTAAAATCACTGAACATTCTTACATCCTTGCATAATGCCACAATCTTGACAATTTCCAGTTTGTGATTTTGTTGATGTCTGATGGATTGAATACAAATTACTCAAATATGTAAAATTTTTCAGAGGCTTATTTTGTTCAGCAGCAGAATCTCAATCCTTAAACACTGCAGATCCAAAAGGCTTGTTTGATGTTCTCTCTTTTGTAGGAAGTCTATCTATTTAGTTTAAGGAATGATAACTGAAAATCATTTCTGAAGCTGACTTTTAAAAGTGGTCAATAATAAGCAATCTGTTATGGTAGTCATATTTTAAAATTATATAATTATTGCAATATTGCTTTAAAAGAATGAAAACCCACAAGTTAATGCTGGGGTGGTGCTACCTGCTCCCCCTTTCCAGGCTGCACTGAGGCCTGAGAAATTCTCATTAGGCCTTGCCTTTGAAAATTAGAGCCTGTACTTAGCTCTTCCCGAGCTTATCAGAAACACTGTCTGCTTCCAGGTACTGCTAGAAAGCTCCTGTTTTCCTTTTTAACAGCCTTGGAAAATATTGTTCTTGCCTGAATGGAATAACATTGTTCTCACACTTTCACACAACATGCCGATCCAAACTGTGCTCAGATGTAACCTTGTTATGACTAAAGCCACTCTCTCTTGACCCTATAAACAGTGGTCCAAAGTGAGACCCTCTGAGCTCTCCTGGGCTGCATCCAGCAGCCTCCTCCTGAGGGGGCCCCTCTCAGAGCCAGCAAACCCTCAGGTGTGCTGTACCTGCAGGCATGACCTGGGCTGGTACCCTGACTCCTTGGGGGTGGCCCTTCACCCATCCGGAGATGCAGAAGCATCCAAAGTAAATATTCCACTGACATCTGAGGGGAACTTCTCCCAGGTACTTTGCTTGCATTGACTCTTTCTGTCTGGGTGCATAAACATGTGCATATGCTGTAGCAAATCTGGGAGAAATGCTTCTTTCTTAATCATTTA